CTCGTGCAGGGCGTTTTCAACCGACCTACCTTTACGGTAGACATGCTGAGCCTCGCTGAAGTTCCCAGGAGTAAGGCGTTGCGTGATCTGCAGACTCAGAAGCCTCTCAATTATTTTGAGAAGAAATGATGAGAGGCTAATGGGCCTAAAATCTTTTGCAGTGCTGTGGCCCGCTTTTCCTGCTTTGGGAATGAAGACCACTCTTACCTCCCTCCATGGCTTTGGGATATAGCCTAGCAGACTCGCCCTATAGATTGTCATTAGCCAGTGGGTTACCGTGGCGCGTGTTCGTTGTCGCATAGCTGGAAAGATCCCATCCGGTCCCGGAGATTCGTAGGGTTGGAAGGATCTGATAGCCCAAGCTACTTTGTCTGTAGTGATGATTTCGTCCACTGGACTGCCTTGCCTGTGGGTACTAGGGTGTTCTGTCACAGGAGTTCCTGTGTCCCCTGCGTCACCGTAGCCAGGGAAGTGGATGTCCATAAGGTGTTCCAGTGTTTCAAGGCTGCTTTCGGTGTGCCCTCCTCCTGGCTTTTTAAGAAACCCGGGAGCCGGGTTTTTCGAGAGGCACCTCCTTAGTCGCGCGGCATCAGTAGTCGCTTCGCGGTCCTCGCAAAATTTGGACCACGAAACCTTCTTTGCTTTCTTTATCTCTTTCTTGAACGCATTGAAGTTGCGACGATATTCGTCCCAGTCCTCCGCGTTCTTAGTGAATTTCGCTTTATTGAAAGCTTTCCTAGCTGCTATCCTGAGCCGTCTTAGATCGGCCGTCCACCACCTTGGGTGTCGCTTAGAAGGTTTGCTCTCGGGACAGGTTGTTATGTAACATTCGTTGAGAGACTTCGTTAGACAGAGGACCGCTCCCTCCAGTTGGTTCGCTGAAATTGGCTCCACCGTGTACGGTGGACTCGCTCCAGACACCAACTGGCTGAATTTTTTCCAATTTGTTCTACGAAGATTTCGATAAGGTTTTAGTGTCGGTCTGCTTAGGTTAATGGAGAATACGATGCGACAATGATCAGAAAAAGAGCATTTTGTCGAGACGTGCCAGCCGTCAACCCTAACATAGTTCGGGTTAGTTACAAGAGTTATATCTATAACCTCCTCCCTTTTTCTATTGTAGAAAGTCGGGTGATTACCCTTGTTACAGATAGTAAGTTTTGTGGATAATAAGTTACTAAAGAGTGACTCACCTCTATCGTTGATGTTCGAGCTGTTCCACGCCGTGTGGTGAGCGTTGGCGTCACAGCCAGCCACCATATTTATCCCTCGTTGCTCCACCCAGGCGGTGAGTTTCCTGGAGGATATTGACGGGGGATCGGGTACATCGTATGGCATGTATGGATGAGGTCGGGTGCTCCCCTCTGCTCCAACATTGCCACTGTCATGTCCGAATCGCTAAATTGGGGAAGAACGAGAATATTAGTGCTTTTCTTAATCAGAATACAGCTTTTAATTTTACCTTCGGTCTGTGGGGTGAGAAGTAGAAAGTCGCTAGTGGATAGACCTGTGACCCTCCCCGCCACTAGCCAGGGTTTTTGTATTAGGGTCACGTCCACATCTTCCTCACCCATGAAGAGCAGCAGATTCTCCGATGCTGCCCTGCAGTGATGCAGATTAATCTGCACCACCTTTAGGCTCTTCGGATTCTCTTTCAACATCGGGGATGATCACCCTAAGGTGACCGATGCCATATCTTATTTGGCCGGCTTTGCGACGCAGGATCTGCAAGGATTGTGGACCTATCTTGATCCAAAGGTCCTTGCCGTTACCCTTGTCGCGAGCGCGGCCTCGGACAATCGTCCAGTCGTCAGGGATGACATCCACGTTCTGATATTTTATTAGGGCAAGTGAGGTCTCGTCCTCCACGAGAGGGGGCCGGATCCACACTCGCACTGTTGTACGGGATGACACCTCTGAGAGCGGAACAACTTCTAGTCGTGCGTTGGCCCAAAGTTCATCTTGGTTGCGGACGCAGTTTGTTAGGAAGTCTAACGACTCCTAGTTACCCCATCCAACAACTTTGACTCCCTTTTGCCACTTGGCTCCATCAAACATACCAATGTTGTTGTTTTTGGTACGCTGGATTTCGCCAAGTAGTGCCCTCATAATCTTTTCTTCCAGGAGCAACCATTTGTCCGTCGGAATCTTTCCTTCCGGGTGATTTCGGTCTATGATTGCTACCTGGAGCTCTGGTGCTGAGCATAAGGTTGATGAAGTTTTCACCCGCTTCTGCTCAGGCTGTGTCTTCTTGTCGTCCCTTACCACCGGAGGCAATAGCAGCTGCCGACGTCGAGGCCTTATCCCCGTCCAGCCGTGGAAACACTGGCCTCGCGGTCTTCGGCGCCTTGGGCGTCAGTGATTGCGACGGCTTGTTGTTTCCAACAGCGGAAAGGGGAGCAGCTTTCTTCGTCGGTAGACTGCTACCGCCCTCAGAGGGGGGTTTGGTTACAGCGTCCCTTTTTTCGGAGTTGGTGGCTTTTCCAGAGACCGCGGCCAAACTTCCGGAAGCATTCGAGACTTTCTCCTCACGGAGTCGCTCATACCTCCGGACAATGTAGGCATGCTTCTTCTGAAGAGCCTTGTCCCTTGGCGTTAGAGTGGCGGGGTCGCGCTCTCGCAAGGAATCGACGAGAGCTTTTGTACCCCATCTTTCTCTTCCGCTCTTTGCTGGCTTAGTGCAAGGGAATCCGCCCAGTCGCGATCCTCCTCATCTGAGGAGTCTAGCAGTGAGTAGATTTGAAGATCCTGGGAGCCCGACTCGCCACTTTCGGATTGGCACCTCTGTTGCCTTGCCAATGTTTTTGCCTCAGTAGCTCGCCTATCATCCAAGCCCTGGGCAGACACCTGGATGATAGGGTCAACAATAGCATTTCGATCGCTGGGGCCTGTTGTCACCACTCCAACGATAGGGTCTCCGGGGATTTTAGAACCCTCCTTTGCCGGATATTGATGGCCAGGCTGAGCAGACATTCCGGGGGGTTGCATTTTATACCTACTGCCAGGTGAAGGTTGTTCTGGCTCCCACTATGGGTCAGACGCAAACCAGGGAGCCGCCCCACTGGGGAACAAACGCCTCTGTATTTGTCGGTGCATTTTCAAACGCGAAGATTAGGGTCCCGTACGTAGTGGTCCACCCGTCATCACGTTCTGGTCGTCCTGAGCGTTCGTCGATGCACGTCACGTACAGTCCGGGTCCAGTCCTCACTACGGGAGCTCAGCCTTGAGCGAGGATATACCGCCTCGCACCGGTCGACAGAGCCTCGTTAGCGATAACAGGCACCACCAAGCCTTGACGGGCAATGGGTGAGGTTGTCGTTTGGGGAGGATAGGTTATAGATTCACTTCACTTCCCCATTAGATCCCCATCGAGTTGCTTGCTATCGGCGATTTCTCTTTTGGTGTTGCCCTTTGCATACATACACAGCAACTCTTTTGTACGCAATTGTTGGTGTCAGCTGTGAACCGCCAACTTGAATTATTCATACTCGGTATCCGTCCCCTTTCCTCGTCGCTCTCTCCCCTACAAGCTTCAAGTTGTCGCAATAGAAGTTTCCGAGTCTGTAGCTCGTTTCTGTAACAATTCTCTACCAAGGCGAATCCAGATTTGCATTCGCTGCCTTGTTCTCCACCGCTAATGAGTAGTAGAGAATGACTCAAGGCAAGGCGAGTTTATACAAGGTGGTTTTAATGGCGATTTTAGATTTTCGCCGCGGTACTTAATGTCAAAATGATGTATTTGTTGTAATATGAATTCGCCTTGTTTACAACAAACACATCGTTTTGACATTCAGAAGGACTGCGGCGAAAACCTGAATTCGCCAGTAACACCACCTTGTATAAATTCGCCTTAACGCAAGGTGTATTTAACAAGGTGGGGTTGGGCGAGAGCTGAGTTTTTCGCTTAAAAGTGATGTCTTTGTTGTAACTCATACCAATGACAGTATGGACATCTGCTTATAATTTGTTTGTGTAATTTTTTACTTATATACGGCTAACACCACCTTGTTAAATACGCCTTGGAATGACGTATATTATCCACCAGAAACGAGATACTGAACATCGATATATCGTATGCGCAATATGTACTGATGCTGTATGCGGATGTATACTGCTGTTGTATTCTGTATGCGGCTATAATTATTTCAACCACTGGATGTATGTACATAGTATTTGTCTTTTAATAAACAGAAGCAAACTAATCACTGCGCTTTTTCAATAATTTATAAAATTTTTTTATACGAATGTAGTCCAAAGTTTCGAACTTATCGCAAAATTCAAATAACAATTATATTTTAATGCATCTTCAATTTCAGCAAACAGGAAACATTTTACTGAATCTTGGGATGAAGTTTTTGCTGAGTATCGGGTGATAACTTTGGTGCTGTGAATCGATAATCGATTAATTATATTTTAGTGTTAATAATTTTGTAACTTTTTATTTTCTTTCCTCGACGTTTGAGACATTGTGATTTTAAAGATATTCCGGCAATAAATTTGCACAGGAACACAATAAATTATAAATTAATAAATGTTAAATATTATTTCTATTGTGATAAAAAAAATAATCGATTAACCAATCAAGTGATAATTAGCCCAATCAAAAAACGCTGCATCCCTAAAGGCCGGTCCACATAGAACTTTCGCGTTGGCCTTGACGTTGGCGTTGGTTTGACAGAACGCACGTTTAAAGTATGCTTGCTACAATGAACGCTTGGCAGCGAATGCTTGGGCCACTAAATTGACATACTAACGACAGATAAATTAATATTTTACATCAATAATTGCATGAAAAACGATATTTCTTGCCCGCACTTGATTAAAAAGGAAAAATATTTCCCATAATTTTATTTACGCGACGCACGCGGAAAGATGAGAGTTGGCCATCTTTTTTCTTTGTGTTGGCGTGAGCGTTGTCGAATTTTGGCTATGTGGACGGCTGGATTTGAATTCATGTATTCATAGTCAGCTGTTGAAGCGACGCCAACGCCAACGCAACGCCAAAGTTCTACGTGGACGGGCCTTAATTGTGCTTGAAAGTCGTCACTTCGATAATCACTTCACTTTTCCTCCCAAGTTACTCCGAAACACTTCACTTTTAGTGTGTTTTCACTTCGCTCGAAAATTAGCAAACGGCAGCACTGGTCAAAGTGCTTATCTTTTCGATAATTTTCTCGTCAATGTTTTGATAGGCACAGTTGATTGCCCCTCCCTCTTATACTACGTTTACATATAAGTAGATTGAGATTATATTTATATGTAAAGTATAATCTCAATCAAAGCACGTTTTTTAATCTCCAACGGGGCACAGACAAATCTCAGATTATTAGCTGTCAATTTGTTGTGCTTGTTGTTCTCACATCTCAAGGAAAATTTAAGTTCCTTCTTTTCCGTGGTCAATTTTTTCTGATATATTAAGCAATTTAAATATATTTTAACTTAATATTTGTTTAAAAATACCTTTATCGGTTTAATCTGAGATTATTTAATAACTACAGATTAACGAGGGACAAGTTTTGTATGGCTAATCTCTTTTTCTAACTAAAGATTAGGGAGTTAAGCTCGAAAATGAGGATAATTTACCTATATTTAAACCTAGTGATATGTATTATGTGTTTTGCCCCGTCTGGCATCACCTTTAGTACATCTTGTGTTCAATTGTAGGCATAATACATTGCATCACTTTAAGAACACACCATGTTTCATTTCTAATATATTACATTACTTTATGAACACATTACGTTACTTCTGTTATATTACACCAACTCGCTACTATGCATATATATATAATTGATATATGAATAAAGCGGCTACTCGCAGCTTAACATCTAAAAAGTGAAGTCATCGTACTGGCGACGAGATAATTAGAGCTTATTAAGCACTGTATATACAGTTAACATACCGTTCTTTTTTCTTATACGAACAAGTATATATACATATACTTCAACTAAGGCGATGCTAGGAAACGATTCTGCTAACGGAGCGGGTTTTGTGATAAAGGCGACCAATGCGCCGGAATTCTGCCCAGCACGGAAACTTGGAGCATCTGGAAAGAAAAACTAGAAATCCATTTTAGTGAAATAAATTGTACTGACGACAATGAAAAAAAGGCGGTTTTACTAAAGTCAGTAGGGTCGGAGCCGTACACTCTTTTGCACAATTTGTGTTCTCCAGATTCTCCCGTGTCAAAAACGTTCAAGGAATTGTGTAGCATTTTAAATACCCACTACACACCGCCAACAATTGTGTTTCATGAGCCCAAAATGTTCCACAAATCTACCAAAGGCAGTGAAGAATCGATTTCCACGGGGTACGCTAGAGTAAAAAAGTTAGCACTGAACTGCAAATTCGGTGAGCATTTAAACGCATTTGTATTAGACCAATTTATGATGGGCTTACCAGAAGGAATCTTTGAAAGATAGTGCGAAGAAGACGACCACTTAACCCTTGAAACTGCACTCAGGAAGGCACTGATAATAGAATTAAAGCAAACTTCAAAGGTTAATCAAGCGGAAGAGTCTAACGTCAATTACATCAAAAGGAGTGCAAGCAACAAGCATATACGAAGCAGCGGTGGAGATGGCGGTACCAGTGGTGAACGGCCTAAGGGAAGCAACGACAGGAACAAAAAAGGCACTAGCAATAACAACAAGACGTCACATGTTGACAGAGGCTACAGGAAAGCTTGTTCACACGGTGGCTGGCGAAATCATGACTCGCATCAATGCAAATTTAAAAAACAGCAAATGTCACGCTTGTGGAAAAACAGGACACTTGGCATCTGTGTGCTATTCCAATTCTAATAAAACTATTAATTACTTATCAGATTCTGATAAAAGTAGCCAGATTCTAATGATAATTTAAATTTTTCTGTTTATAGCGTATCCGGCAGCAGTCCATATTATGTTTACTCATTACCAGTTGAAATTGATGGTGTGAAATTGGAAGTTGCTTGTGACACCGGTGCTCCAAGTACTTTGATCCCACTGTTACTCTTCCAGAATTGGCCCAACGAAAGAATATTGAGGCCAAGTAAAACTCCGTATGTAAATTATAGTCGGGATAAAATCGATTTATCCGGTGAGTACGATGCTTCAATAACGTATCAAGGTGCCACAAAAAAGCGTTAAAAAAACTAAAAATCCACCGTTGCTAAGACGAACATTTTTGAGAACGTTTAAATTCGAATTGTGTCAAATAAATTCAATCGGTGCCAATCGAAATTTTTCGGTACTCACTGATCAAATTAAAGATAAATTTTCGAAACCTTTTAGCGATGGTTTAGGCCTTTAAAAAACAACAAAATATCGTTATCGGTGTGTGAAAACGCCAAACCAGTTTTCTGTAAGCCGCGACCATTACCACTCGCTTGGAAAGACCGAATTAAAAGGCAATTAAGAGACCTAATATCTAAGAATGTCTTAGAGCCCGTGGATAATTTGGAGTGGGGAACTCCTTTAGTGCCAATTTTAAAACCAAACGTTGAATTGCGCATTTGCGGTGACTATAAAGTCATGATCAATAAATATTTAATAGATTATAAATATCCGTTACCACGGATAGACGAAATTTTCGCTGCATTGCAAGGCGGCAAGCTATTCACCAAGTTAGACTTATCCAATGCATATAACCAGTTAGAACTAGATGAAGAATCACAGCTCTTATGTACATGGAGTACATACATTGGGACCCTCAAAATGAAGCATATGCCTTTTGGCATAAAGCCAGCCGCAGCTATATTCCAAAAAAAAAAATGGAAAATCTACTCCACGGAATTCCGTGCGTGGTGGTATATCAAGATGACATTACAGTCACAGGCAAAGATTTGCAGCAACATATTACACACTTAAAACTTGTACTCAGAAAACTAGAATGTGCAGGTCTCAAAGTAAATTTAAGCAAATGCGCATTTTTTCAAAAACAAATTAATTATCTAGGATTTACTTTAGATGAGCATGGGCTACGCAAAAATGAGGAACGTGTTTCAAGCATATTAAAGGCACCAACTCCTAGTAATACTTCCGAGGTTAAAGCTTTGCTCGGAATGGTAAACTATTATTCCAAATTTTTCGAGCAAGATGTCTCCCCTTTATGAATTGCTACAAAAAAACGTAAAGTTCTATTGGTCACGTAAATGCCAAGAGGCGTATGACACTATAAAGAAGGATGTTACATCTGATCAACTCCTGACACATTTTAATCCAAATCTGCCCATTATTTTAACGACAGACGCATGTAGCAATGCAGTCGCTGGGGTTCTAGCTCACAAATTTTCAAACAATGACATCAAACCGATAGCCTTTGTTTCTAGGGCACTATCAAAGAGTGACAAAAATTACAGCAGTCTTGAAAAAGCTCAAGCTTTAACTACTCGATAGAATATGTAAAGGGTAGTTCGAACACTGCGGATAGTTTGCCGCGAATTCCACAACTTCAATGCAAAAAAGAGCATAAAGAAAATAGTTTTATAAATTTCGTGGAAGCAGAGAATTACTTAAACTTTAATTATAATGTGATTGCCAAAGAGACAAGACGAGATGCTGTATTAATATTCTTTATATTGTCTAAATTATGCGCGGCCATTCAGAATGGTACAGTGAAAGATTTTATAATTTTTTGTGTCACAGAATTGAAACAGTACCTTCTAGGTAGTCATTTCACTTTACGCACTGACCACAAACCACTGTTGTCAATATTTGGAGATAAGGGCTTGCCCATTATGGCAGCAGCTCGTATGCAACGGTGGGCATTCACTCTCTCAGGCTTTAACTACTCGATAGAATATGTAAAGGGTAGTTCGAACACTGCGGATAGTTTGTCGCGAATTCCACAACTTCAATGCAAAAAAGAGCATAAAGAAAATAGTTTTATAAATTTGCGGACTGAGGTCAACAGAGCACACACTTGTAAGTGGAGCTACCATAGGTAAACCAAGGGCATGCATCCTTGCAAGTACCAAACTAAAATTTCTGTTTCTTCCTCAGTTCAGTGACGAGGACACAACCACAATCAGCCTAGAGGCGAGCGGACGAAGGGCCAGGGTGACATCCATGTACCTGGCCCACGGCAAGCCAATCCCAACGACAGCGGTCGCAAAGCTGGGACCGGGCTTTGGTCCTGGGAGGGGATGCGAACGCACACCACAGCACGTGGGGCAGCGGAGATATCAATGAACGAGGTGAGTTACTTTTTGAATACATACTTAGAACAAACTCAGTCATAAGTAATAGGGGTAGCGAGCTTACCTTTATAACCAGAAGCACAAAAGAGGTCCTGGACGTAACCCTCGTTTCAGGGGATGCGGAAACTATGGCCTGAAATTAGAGGATGCTTGATGAGCACTCCTTCTCTGACCATCGCTACATACATTTCGTCTTAGAGGGGGTTCCGTCCAAGATGCCCTCCATTAGAAACTTAAAAAACGCCAACTGGCATAAATATAGGGAGGCGCTTGGCAAACCACTCTCAGAAATCACATTATCAATACCAGATAACTCTAGGGATCTGGATAGCCTGTTCCATCGTTTCACGGCAACATGTGGCAAGGCTTTGGATCACCTTGGTGTCCCTAGAAATAGATGAGGCCCGTAAACTCTGTCGAAAAGCCTTTAATCTTGCTAAATCCTCGGGTAGTAATATGCAATGGGAAACCTATAAGTCGAACTTAATACCATGTCCCCACCAAAAAGTTAACCATCTCAAATCGAACTTAACCACCTCACTAACTATTGCCGTCCACACTGCGGTTTAAGGTTTATAAAACAGTACAAATGTAAAGAACAGTGTTCGGACTTACAAAAATCGATTCAGGACTAAATTCCTGCAAAAATCGGAGCAAAAACAAAATTTCCGTACTTGATTGAATTTTTGTTTCTGACATTAATTGTTTGACTAAAATATTTTCTATTCATGCAAAATAAGTACGCGAGGCAATGTAAGGATATGTTACAATTTAGGTAATTTTTAGCATTTTCTATATAGTAGAACGTATCTAACACTTAATTTTTAAAAAAGCAAACCTTTTCTACTTTATATAAATTTCATTTTACATACATTTTTTAACAACTTAAGTAAAGTTCTGTATCCGCCAATTTGTACAGCCATACATCAAAAAATAACGAAGTTACTTTATTGGCGCATTGCTATGAAAAAGTTACTTTTTAACAGTGAGATTTGGCTAACTTTCAATTTTTTTACTGAAACCGGTGGTGAACACTCAAAAAAACGGCCCCAAGAGGGGCATAACATGAATGAAAAAACGGAATAGATTTGAAGTCAAGCGGAGTAGAGGACTTGATTTCAAATTTTTTTAAAAACCGGAGTAAATCTAATCTGATTTTAGCTGAGTCCAAACACTAGTAGGGAACGAATTCTTTACATTTTAACGCTAATGACCCACAGATGGCGGGAAAACACAGGGTTGTATCAGACTCTCGACGTGGTTTCGAGTTGGTTAGTTTTTAACCACCTCAGTGAAATGGTTAAGTGCTGTCATTTTTATATGGCGAAACTACGCTAAATCAAGTGGGTTATCGGGATAAATAACTCAGTAGCCATAACTACGTGGTTAGCTCCGGTGGGGACATGGTATAAGGGATTACAAAAAACTACTAAGGAAAAGCAAGAGATCTTCATGGAGGAGCTTTTGTAATGGCATGGAATCTGTATGAGATGGGTCCAGGCTGAGGAAGATACTCTCCAGTTCACCCCGAGTCGCCCCAGGATGCTTGCAAAGATCTTATGAGACGTGGACGGAAACTGGTGAGGAATCCCTGGGCCTTCTCCTGAGTATGCACTTTCCAGGCGGCACAGATCAGGCTCTAAATGAGCCAACTAGAGAAGAGGTCAGCCAATTATGGAATATTGTCTCACCAAAGAAAGACTTATTTGGGCAATAGGATCCTTCAGGCCTTACAAATCTGCGGGTCCAGACGGTTTTTCGCCGATTCAGCTGCAGCAATCTCTGGAGTTAAGTTCACAATGGCTGTATGCTATCTTCAAGGGAGTCCTCACCTGGCAAAGGTCGAGGGTTGTTTTCATGCCCAAGGCAGGAAGAACATCCCACACTAACCCAAAGGATTTTAGGCCTATTAGCCTATCATCCCCCCAGCTCAAGATAATGGAGCGACTGATTGAATCCAACTTCAGGGAATCAGTGGAAAACAAACTCACGGCATCGCAGTATGCTTATATGAAAGGAAGGTCCACCGAAACAGCGCTACACGAAATAGTGTCGCGTATCGAGAAATACTTAGCGATAAAAGAATATACTTTGATAGCATTTCTGGACATCGAAGGTGCTTTCAACAACATTACGCCTGATGCAATACCGTCAGCTCTAATGGGTCTGGGCATCGACTCACGGCAGGTGTTGCTCGTACGGCAACTGCTGGTAGGCAGAGTCGTGCGGGCGGAATTGGCAGGGGTGTCGCTGGACAGACATGTGTGGGGACCCCGCAGGGTGGGGTTCTGTCTACACTTCTGTGGGTTGTGGGAATTAACGACTTGTTGCAGGCTTTGGAAGGGGGGAGGCTGTAGGTTCATTGGGTATGCTGACGATCTTGCGGTGGATGTGAGCGGAAAATTTCCACAAACTCTGTGTGAAATCATGCAGAAAAAATAAAGACTAATTGAAAGATGGACCATGGAGAAAGGCCTGGGTGTTAACCCGGACAAAACCGACCTGGTTCTCTTTACAAGGAAGTACAAAATCCCTTCGCTGCAGCTCCCTGCCATAGGCACCACGACGCTGAAGCTAGGGGAGTCTGCGAAATATCTAGGCGTAGTACTGGACAAAAAGCTCAACTGGGCACAAAATGTACAAGAACGCGTTAAAAAAAGCAATGGTAGCCCCTTAAAGCTGTAAAGGGGCAATTGGACGTAGCTGGGGGTTGTCGCCAAGCATAATACACTGGCTTTTCATATTGGTTGTTAGGCCTATTTTACTCTACGGGATATTGGTCTGTTGGCCAAGTCTCGGCAAGAAATCTACAATTGAAGCACTTCAAAAAGTGCAATGAACTGCGATGCTTTGCATGTGCGGGACGCTACGCCCACCTCCATCGGAAGCAATGTGCGTCTTACTCAATATTCTGCCAGTCAACATTACTGGAAAACAGTTGGCAGGATGCGCCGCCCTGAGGCTGCGGGAGCTATCTGGCTGGAAAGACACTCAGGATGGCCACACTGCAATATTAAAGGACACATAGCATAGATATACCGGGCACGGATTACTGTGTACCAAGTCTAAACTTCACATAGAGGTATAGGCCTCCTGATGATAAGGGATTACTGCACTTTTACACCGATGGTTCTAAACTAGAGGGCAAGATAGGAGGGGGGGAGGGGGGGCGGTATACCCGACTGGGGTTGGAAAAATCATTTCGCCTACCCGACCATTGCAGCGTCTTTCAGGCAGAGAGAAGCAATGTGTAACAATACCTTCATCTACTCAGGCAGTCAGGCGGCACGCAAAGCGCTTGACTCGGTCACATGCAGTTCAAGAATCGTAGCGGGCTGCCGCAGATTTCTGAACGAGATGGCTAAGCAGAACGCTCTTCACTTGGTATGGGTGCCGGTGTACCAAAACATACCAGACAACGAGAAGGCGGACGAACATGCAAGAGAGGACACATCCGTTCCACTTTCGCAATCCTGGAAGGGTTTAGGCATGCCGCTCGCTACCTGCAAGCTCATACTAAGGAATATATCTCTTAAACAAGCAAGGGAGAGGTGGGATAGTCTCACAACTTGCAGCAACACAAAGCTTATGTGACCAAAATGGAACGAGAAGCGGTCGAAATGTCTCCTAATGCTGAGCAGAGGGGACTTAGCTACAGCCATAGGTCTGCTAACAGACCATGTTGCCATCGGAAGGCACGCGGAGAGGCTTGGGATCCCCATATCGATTTCTGCAGAAGCTGCAGAGATGAGGAAGAGCCGGAAACCTTACGACGATTGCTATGCGAATGCCCCGCACTTTGCAATAGAAGACGAACGTTTTTGGGCTCAGAATTTTTCGAAGGTCTAACCAACATAGCCGAAGTAGGAATACCGCAACTTTTGAGTTTCGCATACTTCACACGATGGTTTAATTAGGAGGGTTCTAAGTGCCGAATGGTATCACAACGGACCCAAAATCTTAAGGGCCTAGGTGTGCTAGTGGATTCACTGGCAGCCACTTTAACCTAACCTAACCTAACCTTGCATAGCTCATAATACGAATTTCACTTTCGAACTTCGATAACCAGAGAAGATCCAAAATCGAATGCAACTCATAATAAGGGCCTATGCTTGTCAACGTAAGTCAAGTTGCGTTTGCTGCGGTGGGTTCTCCACGAAGGAAATGTTGATGTCAGCACGAGCAGTATCGGCCTACCCCAACACTGCAACCGGAAGGCGTCCTACCAGAAGAAATTAAGACCTAAGCGATACTACTGGTGCAGCCACGCAACTCAGCCATAGATGTTTCAAGATTTGGTTCGTTTTCGCAGCTGCGATGTACCACAGCTTGAGTAATGCGTGCAGTGAACCTGTTTCGTAAGCAGCCAAATAGCGAGGTTAATTCATGAACGATCCTGAGTGTGACAGAAATCGAGGCTGCCAAAAACATGATTTGCCAGTCCAGCGGGAGTGCTACGCGAATGAGATATCCGACTAGGCAGCGGCGTGCAAACTTAGTAAGCAAAGTTCTCTATACAAGCTGTCACCGTATGTTTATGAAAGTGGTGTACTACGACTGAGCGGCCGCATCGATGAATACCTACCATACCAAGCGCGACGACCGATTTTGCTACCGCCAGAACACGGAGTGTCGGCTTTAGTTGACAAAGAAGTCCATGAGAGGAACCACCATCAGAATCTCGCAGTAACCATCAACGCCATCAGACAAAGGTACTGGATTCCAAATTTGAAGGCGCTACTTAAGAAAGTGCGGCAAAAGTGCCCCATATGTACGGTTGTCAGAGCAAAGCCCAGCCACCGATGATAGGTCACCTACCGATTGACCGTGTAACACCCTTCGGTCGCCCTTTCACTTATATTGGCGTCGATTTGTTTGGTCCATTTCACGTAGCGATTGGCAGGCGTCGAGAAAAGAGGTGGACGTCATATTTACGTGTTTGACTGTCCGAGCTGCGCACCTCGAGCTAGCAGAGAATTTGTCAAGCGACGCGTTCATCCTATGCCTTCGCAATTTTATAAATCGCCGCGGCACACCAGTGAAGATAAGGAGCGATGACGCGACCAACTTCATCGGCGCAGCGCACAGAAAGAGCTGAAGGCATCGGAGCAACTGTTTGACACAGATCGCATACAATCAGAAGCAGCAAAACACAATATCGAGTGGGTATTCAATTGCCCTCTTAATCCCATCTCGGGTTGCTGTTGGGAGCGTCTTATAAGAGACGTCAAAGCACTCTCAAATAAATATTGAAAGAGGTGTCGCCAAGGATAAGCGCGTTGCAAAGCATGCTAAGAGAAGCGGATAACATTATTGTTTCGCGCCCTTTAGCCTCTAATGGCATCGCTAACAACACGGCAGCACTATTCAGCGCCGTCTTAATGTTGGTAGCCCTGGTGGAACATACGTTCCACAGGTACATAAAACCGTGTGGAAAAAACGAATGTTACTTCAATTCGATACATGCCATCATCTTAGCCGGTTGTGCCAAAATTTGTGAAATAAAATAAATTAAAAAGTTAAGTTGTAACCCAACTAAATACTCATGTCTTTATTCAAGCGAAGTAGTTTTCGATCGTGAACAATTAAATACAAACAAATCTTTTTTATCTTTAAATCAACCGTATGGAAAATACGGAACGCGCTACCCCACAAGAAAAAGTAGCCTGCAGCGGAACCACCAGACCAGTAGCAGCAGAAATTAAGCGACCGCAAAAACTACCGGTGCCCCTCAACGAAGCCCCAAGGAGTTGGAAAGCTTTACTCCAGCAAGTTCCGGATAAGATAATTGCTGGCTGAGGGCATACGCGTGACCGTAACGGGCGGCAATATTGCATAAGCCGTGTAACGCCACACAAGACGGCGCGCTGCATCTACGTAAGCTGCTTTTTCCCGCATAATGGGGAGCCCTGTAACCACCAACAGCACCAGTATTGCATAAGTCGCATAACGCCACACAAAACGGTACGCTTTACAGTTGGTGCCTGTACAAAAAGTCAGCCCTGCTACCACCAACAACGGCAGCGTACATATACATTAATATGTGTAACGGCGCCTGACGAACCGACGCGCCCTGATAACTGTACAGCAACTTAGTACCGCTTACATACTGAACCCACGCCAACAAAATAGCGGCACACATCAAAACAACAGCGTAATATATAACAACACGTGGACTGCGGCTGGGGAACAACATCAGGTACAGACTGCTGCGAGGGATTAGCATCAGCGGCTTGCGGTTCGTGTGGTTAAAATTAAGAACACATATGTATTCACATTTAACTTTTACATTTAATTATTTTTTAAAAAATATCCCCAAAATTCAAGTTTAGGGTAATTAAATTTAAACTGGTAATTAAACCAATTACAAATTCATTTTCATTATTTAGCTTTAAGTGATTTATAAACACCAATTTCATTAGTTAGCTATAAGTGACTTACAAATTCATTTTCATTATTTAGCTTTAAGTGATTTGAGGTATTAAACCTATTTTTCAACTTCATTCTCATTTTGTTAGCTTTTAGTGATTCAAGACACTAAAGCCAGTTTTCAAATCCATTTTCATTATTTAACTTTAAGTGAACCAATTAAAACCATTTTTCAAATTCATTATATAACTTTTAGTGATTCAAGGCACTAAGGCCATTTTTCAAATCCATTTTCATTATTTAACTTTCGTGAACCAATTAAAACAATTTTTCAAATTCATTATTTAACTTTATTCATTTTCATTATTTAAGCTTTAAGTGATTTGAGGTATTCAACCCATTTTTTTTCTAAACTAATTTTCATTATTTAACTTTAAATGATTCAAGGGATTTAACCCATTTTTCAAATTAATTTTCAATACTTAGCATTAAGTGACTCAAGGTATTTAACCCATTTTTCTAATACATTTTCAATAATTAAATTTAAGCGATTTACGAAACTAAACCCATTTTTTTCAAATCCATTTTTATTATTTAGCTGTGACGTGATGGATTCAACATCTTTTCAAATTCTTTTCATTATTCAAATTTTTATAAATATTTCAAGATGCCTACCTGAATTAAATGATGAACAAAAAATAGCATAACTTTTTCAAACAGTTTAAATTTTAAAGTTTCCAAATCATTGCAACAAAAGTGATTAATGTATCCACCTAGATATAAGTGACTTAATACGGTTTTTGCTAATTTTTTTAACGACTATCTCAATTTTATTTTCCTATAAAATTTTCTTATTCAAAATACAAAACGCTAATACACATATCTACTATTAGCCATATACCGATGTACGTGCGCAACAATTTTTTTTGATACGACCATTTCTTTATAAATTCAAAATTTTTAAACAAATTTAAAATCTTTGCAATTGAATGTGAATAGAACCCAATATTCGCACTGCATGAAAATGTCCCTATTTTTGCATGCAAATTTTCAGCCGATGACCCACTGAAGAAAACCATAAGTATTTTTCACAATTCGAATTCTTTTTAATATTTTTATTTGAATATGGTGAGCGATAGCTTTTTTTGTAAGTTTGGGCCTGCTCTTCTTTGAGATTAGCCGGTTATGAGCGAATTCGACTTACAATTTAAGGCATCTAAAGCAGATTTTGATAAGATTACTAAGCGCATTTTACAAAATAGACCGTTGTCTACGAATGCGACAAAATTAAACGAGTATAAATATTCACTTATTACAGCCTACAATACTATTTTACTACTAGTTATTGACAATAGTTCGGCTCATACCTGTAATCTCAAGAAACAGAACAGAAAAAACCCTTTATTAGTCTTTGTGCCTCAACCATTAGGGAAAATTACAACGTTTATTGATAAAATTAATTTAATTGAAGATTTTGCAGACGAAAATTTAAATACAACTTTTATATCATTTTTGAAATCAAAAGCTCGAAGGCAAGTCACATCAAACAATTCCAACTGAAGTTAATTCTGTTAGACAAATCAAAGATGCGTTGAGAAATAGAATAAAACCAGACAATTCGAAAGTTGTAGCTGGGAAAATTGCATCTTTACATGTCACAAATAACAATTATACGGAATTTGCTAAGCGTATCGAGGAGCTTTCGGATGCATAAGAGCGTTCTTTAATCATTGAAGGTATGACACAATCTAAAGCCCATGAAATGGCAGTCGAACAAACAGTTAACGTTTGTAGACTTAATACTCGTTCGGATTTGGTCAAATCAATTTTATCGTTAACTACCTTCAGTGATTCAAAAGACGTAGTGGCAAAAATGATAGTCGAACAAAATAATCAAGTGAAAGAACGTAAAGCGTTAGCGTTTCGATCCCGAGTAAATACGCCAAATAGTTTTAGAGGTAGCTTTAGAGGTCACAATTTTAATAGGTACAACAATTATTTCAGAAAAAACAACTCTAACTTCAAAAGGTACAATAGTGACGTTAATAACAGTAGGTACATTAATAACGGTCCAAGGCATAACGGCAACAATTTCAACAATAGTAATAGGTCTTCAAATAACAACAATCGAAACCATAACAACAACAATAACAGTAATAGACGTCCAAATTCACGCAATAATCCTAATGTGCGCGCTTTAAACGCCTATACCCCTCAGGAGCGAACACCGAGGGTGGAGGAATTGGACAATAAATAAATCTTTTTCGACAAAGGGCATCTATTGCTTAAATTTGAATTAATCCGACTTTATCGAATTGGAAATTAGTGGGTCAAACAAATTTTGAACGGGTTTAGCCGACACGCAAGCCGACATTTCTCTAATAAAAAATTCTAGCAATGAAACAAATTTTTCTATAAATAATAACGATATAATTAACATTACCGGTGTCACTTCCAATACTGTTTCCACTTTAGGTACGATTACCGTAAACTTGACTTTTACTGATGTTTGCATTAAACATACTTTACATGTAGTAAACGATGACTTTAACATACCATCTGACGGTATACTGGGTAAAGATTTTCTAAACAATAACAAATGCGTTATTAGCTATGCAAGCAATTGTATTTCCTTCTGGCTCGGCAATGAAAAAGTCGCGATACCAATCCTTCACGGAACCGAAAGCGACACTTGTATCATGCCACCCAGATGCGAAGTTTACCGAATTTTAGGCCATTCGCCAGATCCGCTTTTTGTAGAATCGCGAGAAGTTGAACATGGTGTATTCACAGCAAGATGCATAGTTAATAACAGTAACCCAATCAATAAAATCATAAATACCACAGATGACGTGAAACATGTAAGGAATGTTAACATTCGGACTGAGAAACTTTCTGACTATCACGTTTTCTCTATTAATAAGACCAAGACAGAAGACTCACGAACGAACGAATTAAGGAATATTTTGAAAAACCAAATCCCTACAGAAGCTAACAGCAATTTACGTGACCTTTGCATCAAATATGCCGACATTTTCGCTCTTGATGATCACAAAATTATATTAAACAATTTTTATGAACATAAAATTAGGTTGACTGACACTGACCCGGTATATGTAAAAAACTATCGTCTATCATATTCCCAACGTGAAGAGATAACGCGTCAAGTTAATAAATTACTAGATAACGATTTAACTGAAGGAAGTTATTCCAATTACAATAGCCTTCTATTTTTTGTTCCTAAAAAGTCTACTAATGGTCAAAAGGCATATCGTATGAGCGTTGATTTCCGCGCAGTCAACAAAAAACTTATTGCGGATAACTTTCCTCTCGCACGAGTTGACGATATTTTAGACAATCTTGGCAGAGCTAAATATTTTTCTACTTTAGATCCTTTTTCTGGATTTTACCAAATCCCCTTACATGAGGATTCACGTGATATAACTTCTTTTAGCACAGACCGTGGAGCATATCGATGGAAAGTGTTGCCATTCGGTTTAAGTATAGCACCCAATTCATTCTCGCGAATGATGAGTATGCTTTTTCTGGTATTCCACCCAACGTAGCATTTTTATATGTACATGACAATTGTTATAGGCTGCAGTGAAGCCCATCACATTAAAAATTTAGCAAAAGTTTTCGACACTTGTCGAAACTAAAACTTAAAACTTAACCGAAATAAATACAATTTTATTCGGCCGGAAGTTACATTCCTAGGCCATAAATGTTCAGCCAAAGGTCTGTTGCCAGACGGCACCAAAATAAACGCTGTTACAAAATATACAAAACCGATTGATAAGGAAGCGGTTCGACGTTTCGTCGCGTTTGCTAATTATTATAGGCGATTCATACCAAATTTGGAACGCCTTTAAATAAAGCAGGAAAAAAGTTGAATTTAATTGGGACAGTATGTGCGACAAAGCTTTTGAATCTTTAAAAGCAGCGTTAATTTCGCCAAAATTGCTACAATACCCAGACTTCACTAAACAATTTATTATTACGGTCGATGCCTCGAAAGTGGGGTGTGGTGCTATATTAAACCAAAACCATGATGCACATGATCTATCAATATCAGAGCAGAAAAAACTAATAATTGAATTAGAACTTTTAGCAATCTACTTTGCCATTAAACAATTTCGACCATACATTTATTCAATTTCAACGCATTTTTTAATAAAATCAGACCACAGACCATTAGTATACCTGTTTAATATGAAACACCCCTCTTCAAAACTTTCAAGAATAAGGTTAGAACTAGCAGAGTACAATTTTACTATTGAGTATATTAAAGGAAAATTAAATGTTGGCGCAGACGCACTCTCACGTATAACGATATACGAAATAAGGGAATCAACAAAAAGTATTTTGGAAATACAGACGAGATCAATGACTAGACAAGAAAATGACAAAACTATGCAAAATGCAGATAATAACGAAATAAAAATAATAAATTAAAAACGGTTCACAAAAACCGTATTCAAAAGCAACATAACCTACTTTTTAATGAATTTAGTTAAAAATACTAGTAACCTTCAAAATTTGACCAAAATGAATCAGTCACGTCACACAATATATAAATACAAACCATTATTATGGTTAGAAATTAAGCTGTAAAATTAACATGCCAGACTCATGAATTGTATTAAAAAATTTTTTTTTTAATGTATGTATATCATTTAAATCAAATTTTGCCTTAATAAATCATACACACAAATATATTTTATATGGCATTAATTTAACACAATAGTTACATTAATAACAAAAAATGAGCAAATTAGTAAATACAAAAAAAGAATATGTATTAATTTCTATACAAATAGTCATGTAAACCCATAACTACAGATCCATATATTGCATACGATTAGCAAATCAAAAACAAAAGAACTTTTAAACTCATACTTATGTATTTTCGCTAATATCAAATTGATATTTTAAATTAACACAATTTGCTAAGTAGATATAATAATATTGTTAGTTATTTAACATGCGTTTTTGAACTCTACATCATAGCTGAAGATTAATATGGATGAACGAGTTAATAGGGGGAAGGAAATAAACTTACAATATTATATTAATAATAAATATCTCGTTCCTCCCTATCAATTTTGCATTACCCTTGAATCGAACGATTCTTGCAAGCCTGATCACCTTGCATAAATCTTTTCTAAGGAGGGTGATGTTATGGCATCGCTAACAATACGGCAGCACTATTCAGCGCCGTTTTAATGTTGGTAGCCCTGTTGGAACATACGTTCCACAGGTAAATAAAAACGAGTGGAAAAACGAATGTTAATTCAATTCGATACATGCCATCAGCTTAGCTGGTTGTGCCAAAATTTGTTAAATAAAATTAATTAAAAAGTTAAGTTGTAACCCAAGTAAATACTCGTGCCTTTATTAAAGCGAAGTAGTTTTTGGTCGAGAACAATTAAATACAAACAATTTTTTTTTATCTATAAATCAACCGTATGGAAAATACGGAGAGCGCAACCCCACAAGAAAAAGTAGCCTGCAACGGAACCACCAGACCAGTAGCAGCATAGATTAACGGTGCCCCTCAACGAAGCCCCAAGGAGTTGGGAACCTTTACTCAAGCAAGTTCCGGGTAAGATAATTGAGTTAAAATTAATGAGCAGGCTGAGGGCCCAACAAGCCGATTTGCCTTTGTCACATGAACGCAACGCTACCACCAACCAACTGACGGACAGCAGCTAAGTTGACAAATAAAAATTTATTCCCACGACAACCGGTTCTACGTACCGGAATGACTCGCGTTTTACCCGACCAAGGCTGTTGTTTCGGCGATCTAACCCCGTTTGGGTCGGCGAAATCCATCAAACGTTGTTCGATAATGGGGCTACATCTGCTCCGTACCCTTCTGCTCAGGGCTGGCATAGAGTCCAACCCAGGGCCAGAAATTTACACCTGCTGCGTGTGCCAGAGACAACTGCATACAAACCCCACCTCGGTCAGCTGCAATGCTTGTGACAGGCGGAGTCATCTCCGTACCTGCTCGGGCCTACGTACGCACCGGCAATGGACCACGTCGTTCGTGACCCCATGCTGTGCGAATCGGACCGCCTCCACGGCAAACCACCACCCGCCCGTGCAGCATAGAACCAACACACCCACACCCCAACACAACAGAACAATAGACACACAAACAAACACAATAGCACCCACACACCGCCGCCGGCAACTCCTAGTCCCTCCGACAATCTGCTCGGTTTGTCAGTGCAGAATATACAGTAACGTGACATCAGTCATGTGCAACTCCTGCCTTGGCTGGTGCCATTTTAGGGCATGCTCAGGACTTCGCAACTAGCGTCATTGGACGAGTGACTATGTGGGCTCGCTATGCTGCCCAGTCGCATACCTCCCCCACAACGCCGCCCACCGCCACCACAAGGCATCACCCCCATTTGCACTTAACGCCATAAACAACCAGATAACTCGTGGCCTTAACCGAAACCGCCCCTGTGAGAGAACTATTCTAGTAGCGTTATACAGTTAGTCATTCAACGCTGCTGGAAGACATTGAGGCCTCCTCACTCCCACAAGGACCCAAACGGTGGTCGGTGAATTACCTGAGTGGTCGACACTCGTCAGTAATTTTTAGGGACAAAAGCAGCAGGTTAAGAAAAATTCAACAGGGGGTACGACAGGGTGGTGTCCTGTCCCCACTACTGTTTAATTATTATATTTCAAATCACCCTCAACTACCAGAGGGAGTCAATATTGTCTCTTATGCCGACGATTGCTCGATCATGGCGCCTAGGAATGGAATTGATGACTTGTGCTCGAAAGTAAACGGTTATCTCGCCGAAATTTCTTGCTTCTTCACTGCAAGGAGCTTAGCCCTATCCCCTGCGAAATCCTCGGCAACCCTATTCACCACCTGGCCAAGAAGGTCAGACTGCAACTGGGTATTCACGTTGATGGCGTAACAATACCGACGGTGAATAACCCCAAATCCTCAGAGTTACCTTCGACAGTATGCTCTCCTTCTCGGCGCATACAACCGTAATTGTCAACAAAGTACAGAGCCGCAACAATATCATCAAATCGCTGGCCTACAGCACTTGGGGCAAAGATAAAGAAACTTTGTTGCCAACATACAAGGCAATTGGCCGGCCGGTTCTAAACTACGCGTGTGGTCGCCTGGGACTAGAAGAACGCAGTGGATGAAGCTACAGACCTGCCAGAATACGGCACTACCAACAGCGACCGCATGCCTCCTGATGACGCCCCAAAACCACCTACACGACGAGGCCCAGATGCTCCCAGTCAAGCGGAATTAATGAGGATGTGCCCAACCAATACCCGGCATGTGGAGAGTCGCCTCATGACTCTCGGCACCTCTTCACATGCCCCGAGAACCCCACCCAGCTGACGCCCCTGTCCTTATGGACAGACCCTGTTGAAGTCGCACACTTTCTGGGCCTCCCCTTAGCTGAAACGGACGACAACGTTGACGGATGAACCGACCCGAGCGGGGCATAGTAGCCGCTACAACGACAACAACAGCAACAAATAAAAATTCTATATTTACATCGATGGAAGCATAAGCGAAGCGTAGGAAACACACAAGTGTAAAACGAGGCGTACCATTTTATATTAAAATGATAAATTTATATTACATATTTTTAGGCTTCAACAAATAATAATATAATTAGCGTTAGCAAAGTTTTTATTTAATTTGCATGGAACGTAAGCCGTAAGCCATTTCGTTACATTCAAGTTGCGTTTTATAATTTTCTTGCGCACAATTTTCATCTTACGTGTGAACATTTTGCTTATTTATGTATGTTCCGCTATACAGATGAGTCTGTTTTCGTGTATTTCGCAAATAATTGAAATTTTCCCTCCTCGTTCATCTAAATTTTGGCAACTTAACAGCTGATAGTTTAAGCTCGGTTCAACCCAGCCAGATTGATCGTCTCAGCGTAGTTTAAATAACCTTTAAATTTGACTCAAAAACTGCACACTGAATTTAAACGACAAACAGAGTTAAACTCGCATTGAAAAACTGGAACTAAGGGCCTATTCTTGTTACCGAACATTTTGTAACCGGGAAATTTTGTTACCAAAAATTGACACCACTTTCTACGCCGCAATTCCAGGTTCTTTTTTTTAACTTTTTTATTTATTCAGCAATTCAGCTATAAATATTTATAGACATTATGGTGGTGCATATTTCACGGGGTAACATTTAGTTACCTGCTTATGAAGATGATATAGGATATATATTTATACTCAAGTTTATTTTTAAGTACAAACATTTTAATGTTTTAACATTGAAAGTTTATTTATTAATAATCAACAATTTTCTTTTTCAATAATAAACAAATTCATAGAACAATTGAACTCCAAGAATTATGACAAGTATAAAAACATACAGTTAAAATACCCTACAGATGGTAACAAATATACCGGTTACAAAAGTGTGCAGAATACGAAAACAGTTTAATATAATTTACCGGAACTTTAAACAAAATTTCTTGTTACCAACGCGGAACAGGCCTTTCAAAAGCAATTTTTGATCCCTTTTGGCCAACAAATACGGATCTTTTTTTGTTACTATCAAGCTATTCGGTCATGTTTAGCCATTCATTTTAGATATTTAAAAAGTGCCACACGGCATGCAAAACTAGATAAAATTTGCAACCATTTCATCATAGAAAAAAATTGTCTTAAACTCTCCTGGGCAGAGAGATCACATAGTTATGCAATGAATGCCTGGCAATATGCAATAAAATGTTGGAACCACGTCCTTTCCTATTAACCTTTTTTCCAATATCAAGGACACCGAGACGTGGACCAGAGAATGGCGAGATCCAAATCAGCACAGAACAAAAAAATTTATATTTAGGGGTCTAATTTTATTTATTCATTTATTATATATTTTATAAATTAATTTACAAAATATATTTTTGGGGCTCGGCTATTAGGCCATATTGCATCAAGGAAGGTTATCTTAAAGTTCGTTGACTTAGAGCATCTTTATATAATTTTATAATTTTCTTGGGTGCAGTCTAAAGCTTTTTTAAATTGATATGTTGACCTCCGGATACAGTACAATTTCACTTAACACCACGCACATTGAATAACTTGCCATTTGCATGTATGTATATAAAAAAAAATATATTTATTAGTGCTAAAAAGGTAGGTAGGCACTGTGGTCAATGGTAAAATTCGTTTACCACCTCTGCATGGTTGTAAGTCAACCGCAAATGGCTCCGGAAGCATTGTCCGGAGGATGCATCAAACTAGGCCGAGCATACTCTGAACTGCCATCAAATCATAAATTAAGAAAGTTTTATTACATGGCACTTGAGAAGTGCATGTGCAAAAATTTCATTAAGGAAAATTTAAACATACAGCGGTACATAGCATGCATTTAGGCGCCCGGTGTTAGCAGTCCCGCCGAAACACACATTCTCACATGGTCGTGATTGTTGAAAGTTCTGTTGGGAGGAAAATTTTGTTACGCCAACTCGCATGTGAGCTAATATAATGCAATCATCCCTGGAGAAGTCTGGATTGTATTTTAGTCGATTGATGTTCTCGTTGTGTTTATTTGGAAATGATTCTGATTGATGCCATTTTCTATTTTCTTTCCCTTTAACGGATCTTCTATAAAAGTATGTCATAATCGTTCTTAAGCATGGAAGTTTCTAATTTTATATCTTTGTTAAAATTTATTTGTTCATGTATGTAGGTGTGGTTGCTTAAAGCAAGAGAGCAGGTTAGACTAAAGTAAACGACAAAGAGTGAACCACCCTAATGCTCAAGTGCATACGCACACAGATACATACATACATACGGATATGCATTCTTTTTTTCGCCAAATAATTTAACAAATTAACTAAGTGTCACTAAACTAGCACGGTGATTCCAGTTAAACTTTAACAAGGAAGGACGCCAAGGTAATATTGTATTGTCTTAACTCAGTAACCCATTTATACCCTGCTGGAGTTGCGGGCCACATATGTATTTTTCGTTTCCACGAGCTTTTAGTTTACGTGTGTATAGGAATGTTGGATTTTCATATTACATTTCGCTATATTTCATCCAATACATTGTTTACAGTTCAGTTGTCATTCGGTTTGTTAGCATTTGCACGCGCTTTGCATTACAGCTTTTACAGAGTACATGTCCGTCTAAAGGGTAACATCCACGGCCTTCGGCTTCCGACGATAACAGCAACCCACAATCCTGAAAGAAAAGTACAAATATATTCTTATGCAATCTCTACTCCTGATTGTGATTAAGACATCTTACTTCGCATTTATAGCACTCAAAATGAAAACTGCGATCTAATGCAACAACACGTACAGTTTCGTCTTCACCAGATTCCGGCATTATTGGCTCCATACAAACACAGCAACGTGGTGCAAATTTTCTATAAAATTAAGCACAGTTTTATTATTATTATTTATTTGAAAGTGAGTGATGAATCACTCGTTTGGATTAAATGGAAGCACTAGCATCTAAGGCATTCAGCTATCTTATTCTATGTAGATATATGATACTAAATTAGAGGAGTACGAGTTAAATGTTATGATTACATTCCCAGCAAATAGTTGTTTGCTGGGTTTTTGACCCGCCACGTAAAAACCCCTTCCAGTGAAGAAGCATAATAAAGGATCGCCTAACGACCACGGCAAAAGTTTAAAGGACTATGATTCCAGGTGCATGCCTGGAATGTCCGGATCCTTAATGGGGAAGATGCCTCTGCCCGTCTGGTTGATGTCCTCGTAAGGCCAAAAGCTGGCATCACCGCCATCCGAGAAATGCGGTGGACGGGGCAACGCAAGAAATGCTTGTGGTCCTGCGAGTCTACTACAGCTGCCATGTACAGGAGCGCAAATTTGGTGTTGGAATTGTGGTGGGATTTGCGCTCATGCCCCGACGGAAGAGAAGGACAAGTGGCCAAGGATAGCTTCTGTGAGCTTACATACGAGCGCCGCCCCCTCCATTATATCAATATCGTGCTTTGGCGACAATGGCAGGGTAGGCAAG